TACTAAATGGGCATCAAGGTGGAGTAGACTCGTTGCTTACCTTTTCTCTTGGATAGCTTTATGAAAGATACATCAAGCTCCTAAACATGGCTGGATAATGATGTGTCTCTAGACACGACGCTGAAATTGATGCCGGCACTTCTAATCCAGTTCGTTTCCTCGCAATCATCGTCCACGAAGGTCTTCAAACAATTCGCGTGTTGTTTCGGCTGCTACTTGAAGATTACGTTTCTCTGTAAACGTTGAATACTCTCAAGCTGACCCTTTTTACTATCCTGTTGATAAGCGGGCTAAAAGGTTCCCACATAAATCGTAGAACAGCGTTGAAAGTAAAACCTAATCAATTCTTTACTTTCAGATGGACTGCATCGCTAAATGCTCTGCTATTTCTCATCCATAATCGAAAATAGAAGTTTGCAAAACTCCTATGATTTTTTCTGAATCCACTCCAAAATTGAAAGCCAACCTACAGTTACAAAGGCCTCAATCCCAATCACACGTGTTCCAGACCGCCAAGGTTCTTAAGATTTTGATCTGAGTTGGCTTTAATCTTATTTCACGTAGATTCTGTTGAGTGGTTTTCACACATCTTAAAAATATGAGCACTAGGAAAACGACGAATAATAAGAGCGCTTTTACCTTGTGATTGAAGGATTCAAATCTAGATTTCGTCCTATTTACTGAAGACTTCTGAACTGGTTTCTCGCTCTATGTTCTGTGGAAGTCAAAATCCATACCATTTTTGGGGCGAGGGCGAGCCTTCCTCTTTGGAGAAACTGGAAAATCTTTCTTCGTAGAATTTTCAGTATCTATTCAATGGCTTGATAGACCATATTCCATATTTTATTTGATTTCTTCAAGAGGTCTTCTTAGTGAGCTGTCGCAAGGGAAATAAAATCACGTTTCATCATTGGTTCGTCCTGTTTGCCAGCTAGAGCTCGTAGATGATTTTCACTTAACTCTTAGCATTCACTCGATAGCACATATCTCATAAATTATGAGACGGAATTTGATTTCTGAAAAGGTCTTCATAATGTGCAGCACGAGCGAAAAGAAAGTTGAATTTTACTCCCAGAGTTTTCTTATCACATAAGAGTTATATGCGCACCATGGTCATGCTCTATAAAAGATCACCTATCAGGTGTCCAACAAAGTTTTCGAACTTGACCCCGAAAATAAAAATTTTCCCACGCGAAGAAATTTTTTTTCTACCTATTTTGTGCAGAATTTTCTTGCGCATCGTTTCGTATATTTTTGCACGTACTTGTCCAGCAATGAAGCCGTCACGGGAAGTCATTCGCAGCTTACTCCATCGCCGTCGCTAAGTCATTTTGCTTCAAGACAATGCAAAGCCACACATGGCCAAGAAAACAACGAAGAAGTTGACCAATTCGGGCTGGAAGCACTTGAATCGTCCGCCGTATTCGCCAAATCTCTCTCCATCCGATTTCCGTCTCTTTAGATCATGGGAGCACTGGTTAGGCAAGAAGAGGTTTTGAGACATCAAACATTTGCGTCGAGATATGATTGCTTCATTTGCATCAAATAATAATGAGTTCTATGAGCGCGGAATTGAGTTGTTACCGGACCATTGGCAAAATTGCATACAGGCACGCGAAGGATACTTCAGCTGATATTATTTGATACCTCCTATTACTCGGAAAAGCAAATTTTGAATTTCTGGATCAAGTTCGGATACTTAGTTGGAGAGTCAACATAAGTGCATCATGATCATATGAGTACGTAGAGGTAATCGTGGAGTATCAAAATATTGAGAAACTGATTTTTTTTTCTGGAAAGGAGAAAATACTTCTATTTATTGGGTTTGCAAGAAATTTTCCGCATTCATTCGTTTTTGCTGATCTTTTTTCATGCATCTGAGTTTTTGATCAACGTTTAGAGCAGCTTCCTGCGTTATTTTGATATCACAACACTTATACATGTGTTATTGAGATGGAACTGTCCCGAGAGCAAAACGATTTTTGATGTTAGATGAGTATCGTAGGGTTCAAGTGCCGCTTTGGCACGCAGCGATACTCGTGTTGCATCACCAATCACTTTTGCTCTCGGGACAATTCCATCTTTAACAAACACATGTGTTCATAAATCACAGTAATCACAATAAGCTGCTCTAAACGACAGTAAATCAAAGACTCAAATGCATGAAAAATTATTAACGAAAACGAAAAGTTCGGAAAATTTCCTGCGAGCTCAATAGATAACTACAATCGAGCCTCTCAACGTGGCTGTTGCTGACTCTGCGCGCAGATTTGTTCGATAAGCGTGCGATCTTAGTTATTCAAAAAATTTTCCCCGTTAGGAGAAAAGTTACAAGTTACAGTAGCAAGCTTGTGGGAAAAACTTTGTTCTTTTATCCTAGAGAGAATAGCTTTTCGTTTTCATTCCAAACTGCCGATTAGGCGCGCTATGATGGTCAAGCACCGGGCCAACTACTCCTAAAGACATTAGTATCGAGATTGAAGATACTGAATGACCTATAAAATTTCACTGAAAAGCTAAGCCAATATGAGTGCAAAACGCACTTAACACTTCGAAGGCAAAACGCAATTATCTCGTCGTTGTTACAGCAAAAAAAAGATCGTTTCAGAAACCGTTCTCGTTAAAATCGTTGTTTCCCAAGCTATCGAATGATTACTTAAACTCTGGTTGTAAGGCGAAGCGTAATATTCTCTTCCTTGCTACATCGCACTAAAAAAGCCTCTTCACAAATCAAGCCGAGCGCGAAAATTGCGACTTTTTCAGCTATCGAATATCAGTGCAAGTCTAGCGAAAAATCTGTGCCCCCACGAAAAATCAACAAAGGTTAGTGTACAATTTTTTGCCCATTCGGCCCCGAATGGTCAACACGCCTCACATAAAACCTTCGGTACAAGACTTGCCTTACATCCTTAGTGATCATTACATAGCTCACCTCGTCATTCTCAAGAGTGTTTATGAATTTTGAAAGCACCTTCTCAGTGCGCTGTAGCAGCGAATATGAGATTACAGTTCGTCTTCAATGAGCATTTTTCGCTCGCCAAAGATTTATGGTAGACTATTCAGCAAAGTTATAGTACTTACTATACTTACTAGATAGTTTGGAAAACGATGATTCTAAAACTGAATCAAGTTTTCAAAAAGGTCTATACAGTGAAAACAATCTTACCATTCGCACTATAGGATTGCGCACGAAAAACACACGAACATGTAGAGGAAATTGTGATGTATCAGAGTATCAAAAAAGGTAGGAATTTTTGTGAAACGGAGATCAAATTCGTTATTAAATAAAGTTGCGCCCTTTCGAACGGCAGTTAAAATCGCTGCGCATCTCTTGTTTTATATAGAATTTTTTTCGCAATTTTGAATCTCAGGATTTTTATATAGGAATTGTAGAAGGACTTTGTATTATTCCCTAGGTACCAGCTTTAAGTTCGTTCCATTTTGTCGCCATGAAGTTATGAAAACACGCTATGATATCTTAGCGACGGGCTAACTACTTCGGTTGAAACGTAATATTAGTTTCGCTCTTACAGCAGCATATGGAGTAATTTTTCGCACCGCACTTTACCCTCGGAATCGTTGAGATTTGCGCCATCAAAGACTGCTAAAAGTATAGCAAAAAGCCATCCACTGAGCCTTGCTTAGCGAACGCAGTAAATTGAGTGTAAAACGGAATTTTCGCCGCTACAATGCACAGAGAAGGCCTTTTCAGAAACCAAGCAAAAAATCAAAGTCTATGGGATTTAGGCTTTTGAATAACTCTGAAAGTTTTGCGGAAATGCTCCCTCTAGCGAGGAAGGCCTCTAAATAATCATGGTACAAAAGCGTGCACTCTCCATCCCGAACGCGTGAAGAACGGAGAAAGTTGTTCATCAATAACAGTACATTTGCTGCCCAGATCATTCTCGCTAGTGAGTGACTTCTGATGACACTATAGCGTTATAATTTGGTTGAAAGATAGGCTAAGCAATGGCCTTAGTTGGTGTGTCGGATAGCACGTGAGCAGGTAAGGGTAAACACGGGCCCGAACTTGACCCGAGTATCCGAGTTATTCTACTATCTTAACATCCTTGTGACTCTTTTTAACACTAGGGGTTCTATTTTCTCAGATACTGACTTTGAAAGGATGGAAGATAAGGTGAATCTGAGCACGAGATCGAAACAACGACCGAATGCGCATAGTAGCTCATCTCTAGCCACCATAGCTCATACGCCTCAAACATTTCATATTTCTCCATGTAAATAGTCTCAAAGAGGAACACTTTCACGAAATACAAGGGTATTGACACTGCTCAATGAATAATTCGCTTCTTCTAATACTTCGTGAAACACTGATTCGTCAGGTGGATTACCAAAAACCTCTTTGCGACACAAACATTACGAACTGTTGGGCTAACTGTAGTAGTCGTGAAAAAAAATTGCTATTATGCTCATGATCTTGAATATCACGTTTGTAGTAGAACAGTGATTTTCAGGAAGGTGAGATTTATTGTGACGATTTAGAAGGCAAAAATCATAACCGTTTCTATAATATTTTCTGCTATTAAAACAATTGTTGCCTGTTTCCATTATCAATAGAAAAATGTGAGAATAATAACGGCAATAAGAGCTATGGCAACGAGCTCAATACATTTGTGCTCTTGACTTATTTTAGCATGCCATTTCACTTTAGCAATGTGGACATTTCTTTATGACTTACATGAAGATTTTCATTTAGTAAAAACTTAGAAGATCAAGGAAGCTGTGCTCCAAACAACTTCACATCTACTCCAGAGTAGATAAGGCTTTTGTTTCAAGTTGTTCGGCATTGTATTTGAAATTTATTTTAATTTTTTCCTATGCACACAGTACCATCCCTGGTAATTAAGCACCAATTATTATCTATACACGCCTTTCTCTACTACATTTATGCAACGTAAATTCTTTCCATTTTGACTGCCACTTGCAGTGGTATGATGTTATACTTATACCCAATATATGGAGTACTGTGCAAAAACGTTTGCGTCAGCCGGGATTTGAACCCAGGTCTCACTCTTTCCGGGAGCGTATGCTAACCATGTATTACCGACGCTCATTCTTGCACAGCACTCTTATTTACGCTACAACGCGTTGCCTGCCAACAGCCAACCGTCGACGCTCTGGCGGGGCAGCCGCTATCGTCATTGAACCCACTTGTGTTGACAGACATTGGATATCGATAATCAGTCAGAATTCTTTTTATTTGACTGCCACTTGCAGTGGTATGATGTTACCAGTATGCCCAATAATGTGGAGTGCTGTTGGCAGACAACGCGTTACAGCGTAAATAAGAGTGCTGTGCAAAACGAGCGTCTGTAGTGCAATGGTTAGCATACGCTCCCGGAAAGAGTGAGATCTGGGTTCGAATCCCGGCTGACGCAAGCGTTTTTGCACAGTACTCCACATATTGGGTATAAATTTATGCAAACATTTTCACTTCATTACTGGGTTTGGAGATATGGAACTGGATATCTTCGGAGATGTTTTGATAGATTGCTTTTTATTTTTGCCTTCTTTCTAGAACATGTTCTTCAGAAACTTCATCACTTTTACCGCATGAACTCCAACTCGAACATGAACTTAGGTAGATGTTAATAACGCGAACGCACCCCTGTTCTTACATTTCCATTGGTCCTCATCCTGTATCACAGTTACTACTAAGCTTCACTGATATATCCCTTATACAAGGAGCAACGCACCTTTTGTATTGAACCTTTATTGCTTTTGCTGAGATTACAAGTTTCAAAAGGTTTTCGAACTGTTTCATGGCATTTTTGTACCTTAGGCTGGCTTTCTAACGATGAAACTTAGTAATAACTGTGGTACACATCTGTTTTTAGAATAATCCCCATGCTGCGCATAGCGATTCCACGATCAGGAACTTAATCATGCGTGATAGGACGTCAAACCATTGATAGAGCAGTGCGTAGGGTAATATTTCTGCAAAACCAATCCTTTCGATGATCCGCAATCATATTTCACTGTACGGATCTCAGCACTTCTAGCACTAATTTCCTTTCCTCGCACTTATCCTCCACAAAGATCTTCGACTATTTCGCGTGTTTTCGACTGTCTGGAAATACCACTTTCTTCATTAATGACGTAGAACTGGTTGGGCAAATCTCTTTGCAATTTCGGAAGGACACGAGCTGGAGCGCTCCGAAAGGCCCTCGTTGATTGATTGCAAGAAAGTACTGGAAATTGGATTGGACCAGTACCTTGCTTCCTGATAGCCTGTATCACCAACCACTCGGTCATTACAACTCCCATTATTGTTATTATTGTCATTGCTATTGCAGCGTGGAAAGAGTACTGTCAAAACAGGCGTTGGTAGTGCAACGAATAGAGCACGCGCCTCCGGACTGGGTGAAATTCGGCTTTAAGTTTCGCCTGACGCAAACGTTTTGCACATCACCCTACATCATTAGGTATGCTACTGCTACTAATATGATTTCACTCATTCGTTATTATAATTGACCCTATATGACTCAGTGTACACTTTCTCCAAACGGTTTGTCACCTTTCCTTAAACAGAGGTCATCATTTTCTTTTGTCTTAATTGGCTGCTTCTAGAGGATTTTTCGTATTTATCAATGTCGCTGACTCTTAGTAAGTGATTTCTGCGAAAGTCCGGAGCGACTCTACCAGAGTGTTCCCATATTTTTGCCACAGGCGCTCCCGAGCCTTCGTGAATCGGAGGGAGGGTTGTTCAGACAAGTCTGGTCGAACCGAAAGGTATAGTGATTATATTTCAAGATATTTCTACTCATTGTATGTCCCAAATCTAGCAGACTCTGTGGACGTGAAGTAGATGGACAATATGTCTCGTAATGGCGGTCTATAAATAACTCTTGCAGAAATTCAATCTCAATTAAGAAACATTAAGAGATCGACGCTTTTGCATGGGAATGTCAAAAATAGTTAAGAAGCTCTGAGTACAGATGAGTGATGTGATACTCGTGTAGGACTCTATGGTAGCACAGCATTATAAGCATAGTAATAGCATGGTAAAGTGGGAATGTGAGTGAAACATCCATGTTCTTTCACCTGATATCTGGTTCGATTTGGTTAGCAGGAAACAAATGAAAAATTGACCCTTTCACTGAACAAAAAATTTTTCAAAAGAGTCTCAATAATCAATCCAAAGCTCAAATCTTGCGTGATCGCTTTTGAGAAACCTTTTTACAAAGCTGTAAAATTCAAGATAAAATTATGTTTTACATCGGCCGCAAAAATCAACTATCACTTCGCTGGAAACACGGAAAGCACATGAACGTGTGGAGAAAATCTTTAACCGTCAGACTCAGTCGTTTGATCCGAAGATTTTTTCGAAACGGAGAAACAATTCCTAATTGAATAACAAAATTTGCACTTTTCTATGGCTTGCAGAAGGCCCAATCGATCGACTGCAATGTTGAAACCTGTCGCATCTGCCCCGTCCACCTCGTAGAATAGTCAAAATACTAACGCTCGCGTATGTGAATTCAATTTTATTTTCCCTGCTGTACTGCAGAAAACGGTATTTCTATAAAATAAGCACAGCATTTGAATCTTTAAATCTTGCGTTATCGATGGATTACTAATAGCGTAAAGAAAGAGCTTTGTCTTGCTAGAAAACGGGGTATGTGAAACACAGATGTTATCGTTTCCTTGAAGCGTTATTACAAGGACTTTTTGAAATTGACTATGTCGAGCACCAGCCAGAGATTTGAGCTATCCAATAGTGACTAGCACTCTTGTGAAAAATTCTTGTACAGTTAAAGGGGTGGTTTTCTTCTTTTGTTCCCTTCTGACCGAAAATAACCTGATAAACATCGGGTGTTCCCGTACTTGTACCATTTCAGAATGCCAATAAATTATACGCTTTATTTTATTTGATTTAAAAGCTAAAAATATCAGTTCTGTGTTCGTCAGCGGGAAAGTGTGCATTCAAAAACTACAGTTCGTTGAGTACTATTGTAATTTTCACTACGGGCATAGCGATATGTAATCTGAGGACTTTCGAAGAACAGGAATCAAGCGTTTTGGGATAAGCTTTTTTCTTTGTTGAATAATCAATCAATGTATCTTAGTCGTTTTGATACGTGATTGCCAAGTAGTCAAATCTTATGCATGAACTGTTCGAGTGCTTACAGCTGCTCGAGCAATGATCAAGCTTGATTGAACACAAAAAGCAAGAGATATTAGTGAAGGTCATCTCCTTCTAGTTAACGCTGCACCAATGCCATTCTTTTCAAATCACAATCTTTAGATTAAATAGAAGCGCAAAAAAAGCAATTTTGATAGAAAAGACAACTACGTAGTCAAAATGTTTCACTTTTCTCTAAAATATGAAATATACTGGAACAAGATAGAACTGGATACCATGGCCGCTTATAATTGATTAACTGTAAAAAGACTAAGATTTTCATTAGAAAGTGTAAAAAAATAGCTTCAATGGCACCACGGCCATAAGCTCGTTATGCGCAGAGACGAAAAACTGCATAATGCGAGTATTAGCGAAGAAAGTAGACTATTGTAAGCCACAGAGAAATCCTTGCAATTCACTGAGTCGGTTACGTATCTGGGTAAAAACACTTTCTTGAGCCGAGAAGCATTAGTCGCCCACTCAAATGATCATCAATGTCCGAAATTTAATTTTTTTTCACACCACTTTATTAATTTTTTTGTCTTGTCCGTTTGAAGGCCGCTTGTGGCGCAGTGGTTAAAGGTGCTCTGGGTCGCACATAAGGACAATGGCTCGATCTCGAGCTCATAGCTCACCAACTCTTCTATCACTTCGAGGTTCGGCGTTCCAGATTTGTCTGGGAGGATAAACAATACTGACGACATATAGCGAAAACCAGTGCAAATCACTGTAAAGGCCAGAATTGCGTTCAGTCATCACAGGCGAAGCTAAAAATCAAAGACGGACGCATGGCGCAACCTTAAGGGATTGATCAATTTTGAGAGCTTCATCCTTTGTACTTCTATATTAGACAGATGCAAAAGCAATGAGATTATACCTTCATTTCGAGTGTTTTATTAAAGACCACGCTCAAATTTCAAAATATCTCATAATTATTATTTGATCCAACATGTCGTGTGGTGTGTTAATGGGCTCTTGTACGGCCTGGTACACGTGTTTCGACCTTACAATCTCGTCAGTCGGGCAGAACGCATCTTTCAATCATTTTTTAGCCAATCATCTGCTCCAGTCCCCACACTAAGAGTCCATTAACAGACCACACGACATGTTGGCTCAAATAATTATTAGGAGATATATTGACACTAAGAGGTAACGAAGACGAACGATTTACAATGTAAATCAAGTGAAATTATCACCGAGTTCCAATGTTGTACACTCGATTGCTCTTTGGCTGGTATCTTAATGATATTATACCTTTATTCAGAGTGTTTTCATAAGGCCACCCTTAAATTTCAATAGATCTCTTCACTATTGATTGAGCCAGATTGTAAGCTCGAAACACTTGTATTGGGCTGTACAAGAGCCCATTACCAGACGACATGACATGTTGGCTTAAATAATAATGAAGAGATCTATCTAAATTTAAGCATGGTCATGAAAAAACACTTGCAATAAATGTATATTATCATGAAAGTACTAGCCAAAGAGCAATCGAGTGGACAACATTGGAATTTGGTGATAATTTCACTTGATTTGCAGTGTAAATTGTTCGTGTTCGCCAACTCTTGTTGTGGGGAATGGAGCACCCACAGAGGATTGGCTAAAAAGCCTTTTAGCCTCATGGGATCGACGGAACCGACGGGGATGCTACTGATGAGTCCCAATAGGGCGACATAGCCGCTTATATAGCACTAGACCTATCGGCTCAAAACATATGGTATCCTTACCAGATTGACTGAAAAGATTGAAAGACGACGGGTTCTGCCCGACTGAGGAGACTGTAAGGTCGAAACACGTGTATTGGACTGTACAAGAGCCTATTACCAGACGACATGACATGTTGGCTTAAATAATAATGAAGAGATCTTAACTTTCGTTTCGGGTGTTTTCTTAAGACCACTGCTCAAATTTTAATATGCCTGATA